AACGCTACATAGTCTTGAAGTAATATTCTCATTAAACAATAACACTTGCATTATATATTCAGTCACAATGACATCATAGATACTCACTGCATATATTCACTGCAAATGGCATCATAGGTCTCTTATTATAAACTCATTTTATAAAATCACAACATACTTTTTTGTGTTTTCATTATATAATGATACCATTTAAGAGCTGTATATGAATTTGCAATATTATGGTGAAAAAAGAAGCACTAAAATCTCCAAATCATATAATTCTACATCTATTTACAAAATAGTCATGCTGCAAGATCGCTTTACAAATCACATAAAAGGATTCAGCTAACAATGGCCGACAATAGTTTAACGTTTATTTTGTGACAATTGTGAGTCATTGAAGGGAGATATTAACCTATTGAGAATATCACAGTAGGCTAAACAAAACAATACTTTCACTACTCAAAAATGTACATTAAAAATACTGCCATTTATTTTAATTAAAATGCCCTTAAATTATAAATGATACACAATTTTAATTTTCTAACAATACAACAGAGAACGAGTAAAATTGAAAAAGGAAAAAACTTAACCACACACACACTTTTGCATCTAGGCAAATAAAAAGCGGTTAAGATATCGCTTTGGTGTAGTGTTTAAGCAAATGTGACACACTTTTTTATAGAATGTCTGTGGAAAGGGAAAATTAGCTGATGCGTTCACCGAAAAACCAGGTGGTCCTTTCATCGAAAGAACTTCTGGGCTTTTTTCCTTGACAATAGAAAAGTTACAAATTTTGACCAGTTGGTCCATTATTCTATGACTTTAATTGTAATTTTTCATCAGTGATCAATTGATATTCAAGACTTAACAATACATTATATTAAATAAAAATTACAGGCCTTTATCTGACTATCTTAGGAATATGTCTTTTGTTTGTAACAATAGGCTTTGGAGAATCTCTCTGAATGAAATAAATGGCCATCTCAAAATTCACCTGTTTATTTTGATGTCAGGCATCTGACCCAATTCAAATTTATTTCAAACCTGTATTTATTGACCTGTTGTTTTCTTTAAGTTGTGCAATAATTGGTGATTGCAAAATTCAATGTTAGCATGAATAACTTGGAATTTGTAACATTTGAAAATGGACACTTCATACTCAAGCATATAAGCTAAATCACAAAATTTGAATTTCATAAATTTCGTATTCCTTACTTCAGTAGCAGTCATTTTTGAAATGGTCCCGGGACAAATGTAAAGCTTATGTTAATGCGAAAAAGACGATGCTACGATCTCTAACCTAATTTGGACATTTGGCGAGTATTTTCTCTTGCACCTGCCGCTAATACTTTTGTCTCCCGCCTTTTGTTAGTAAATAGGTGCTGACCTTTTGCAGAAAAAATGCTCAATTTTTGCGTGAACCATGTGGTCAAAAATTCTTGAGTTTTGAATTTGATCACCTGTCAGGATTTCCCACGCTTAATCCCTGAAATGCAGAGTCAGATTTAGTGAGCAACCTTTCCAGAAGTTGTTTCAATTTAAGAATATTTAGGATCCACTCTTGTAATATGTATTTTCTTAGAATCGCCAAAATTCATACTTTTTTCCAGTAAAACTAAAGATTTCTTACACATTTTTTCAATTCGAATCTTACATAAAAATATTGATTTTGTCATCCTCTATTTCTCTCATTCTAACTTAAGTGCAAGAATATTGCCTAATTTGTGTTTAATTTAAAGTGCTTATTTATGTAATTCTACGCCTTTCATTCCTAGTTTTTTTTTTCCTCTGCAGTCGTGGCTATTTTGATTTTTTTACAGGTCAGGCTTACTGTCTGTGGTCAGGGGTCTAAGGGTAATGTTACAGTTCATAGAGATCCCCATATGTTAGCATCTCTGTTGCACAGTTGTGTCTCATTTAATCAATGGGACAAATATATTCTTTCTTAGCTTTATGGCCTGGAGCTATCTGTGGTCAGAAATGTCGCACCTCTTTATATAAAATATCACAAATTTTATAAATATTAATCCTGCCTGAAGTGAGCGGGGCATCAAAGAAATTAATTACAATTTAGAATCTCATGGATATTAATGATTTCTGTTATCTTTTTATTTTTGCTTTAGGATATTTTAACAGTGAGTGCAGTTTCTGTAACATTCACAAACAGTGTTGTGTCTTTCCAACAAATTATGCAATATTGTGAATATTACGGAAACTAGTCTTGTTGTAACAGTTGCCCCATTGTAAAGTGAAACCTTAAGGTGGAACACCTCTAAGTGGAATACATCTATTAGAATCCCTTTCGGAGTTCTTTTTAAGTCAGACCAACTGACTTAATGTTATATGAACCTCTATAGTTAGTCTAAATAGCAGAAAGAATACCTATAAGTGGAACACCTCCCAAGTGGAACACTTTTTAGAGGTACCAAAGGTGTTCCACTTAAAGAGGTTTTACTGTATAACTGTTAAAATTTTAATAATTTCACATTTATTGTTATACACATTGCATTATACTCATTATTATACATATGGTATATACATTTGGTTTAATTCAATGTGTTTGCTATGGATTATTAGTTTATGATAGTTTCTTAAAACTGCACATAACATCTCGAAAAAAAATGTTTTTTACAGTTAACCAGTTCTATAAACAAATTTCGTGCAAAAAAATATTTTTACATTTGGTGAAGCTAGCAAGTGTTTGATTCAACAGACCATGTAGTTAAAAGGCTTTCCATAATTTTGGTAATTATCTTTTATTACAACGGAGATATAGTTACTAATTGCCGAATATTGTTGAGTATGTGTTTCGACAAGCGTGACCACCAGTGCACACTCCACGCCTCAACCACGACAGCAGTGTTGGGCATTTCAGTTCCGACCACAGAACTTAATATTTTTGCATGTTAATTATTTTATTTTGTTATATGTTTGGAAATCATGACAACAGAAGATACTTCTGGAGTCACCTCATTTCAATTTTGGTTGGTCATTTCATATGTACTTACAAAAAGTCATATTTCTAATATTCAAAATTAGAAATTTTGGCAAGTTGATACTTTTAATTGAGACCATATATTATATTTTATACCCATATTTTTCACAGAGTATATCTTTTTAATGTTTGACCTTCATTTTGACTCATTGGGTCAGTTTTTTTTTATATCACTGACTTTACATGTAAATCAAAGGGTTAATATCAAACAGTCAGAACTGGTGGACTCTTTAAAAAAGGTATGCCATACAGAATGTTGTGAGAAAAGGTTTTGTAAAATTGTATCAAATTATTGAAAGAAAATTCTCCTAATCTTTGTTGAATTTGGTCAAAATATCTTGATTATGATTGGTTTGGCTTTATCTCATTAGTCCAGTAAAAGCAATCTGTTCAAAATGCTCATGGCAAATATTACAATTATGTCAGTTTGCTAACATTGTTTAGGAGGCATCAAAAATCCAAAACCACATTTAAGGTGAAGTTCAGATTCCAATTTTAATATATTACTCTTTAATGTTTAGTTAATTGTATCAAATTTAATGTAGTTCTAATAATACATAGCAAATAATTGATTTCTGGAAAATTGACTGAAGAATACATAATAGAATAAAACTGGAATAAATTATGAGCAAAAAATATTTATGTACTATTATGATTCCATTTAACGCATACCCAAGGAGCCGAACTGGATCAAGTCAGACATTATAAAAATGTTCCAAAATAAATAGATTACAATAGAGAATAATAGTGTGTAATCCTTCCATTGAATAGAGTTTCACTTGATAAATAATTTCTTTCATTTTGAAAAATACGTCTGCAACAACAAGGGATTATGGGTAAAGTCACTAAGGTGATCAGTATGCCATAATGATGTTACTACCATCAATCACGATCTCTCTAGATATGATAGCTCTAATACCCAGATCCTGCAATTTGTTATCATTTAACGCTATAAGTCATCAAATATAACTTTTCAAAGCCTTCACCTTTGTGCCTAGGCTAAGTTAAACTGCAACATTTTTCTTATGGTTAATTGAAATAAAGCGGAATGGTTAAAATAACATTTGTCAGTTCATCATTCTACAATATGGATATAATACATGTATATAAAATAATAGCAATTCTATGAATTTTCAAACTGCGTAGATAATATGCCCAATAGGGTGTCATCCACTTGAAAATGTAATCTTACTATATATGGAAATAAATATATAACATTTTTTGATGGATAAAATTAGCCATACATTATGAAATGCTTCAAGAATATATGCATATAAGTTGTTGACCCTGTAATGATTGCATAATATATAGCTCTTAAAAACACAGGAAAGTATTTGTTAATCAGTGAAAATCAATGAAATGAGAAATTCTATGATTAATATATAAATAGTCATTTGATATCCAGCAGTCTAAAAATATAATAGAACATTCATTTTAACACTTTTCTATTTTTACAATTTTAACAATTTTGATTTTCTCTACATCATAATATATTAGTACCATATAGTTTGGGGAATACAAGGGATATCAATTTGAAGAGATTCATTTGTAACGAATAGTATTTTACAAGCAGATATTAATGAATTTTCTTGTTTTCATGAATTTTGATGTTTTCTCTTGTCATAGAGAATCAGAAGTGACTTAGTCTTGTCATGGCTTTAAAATATGAGAGCGTCATGTTAATAGTCGATATGATTGGAACATGTATGTAAAGTATTAGTTATTTACAGTAAAAACTTTTTAAGTGAAACACCTTTGTTACCTCTAAAAGGTGTTCCACTAAAAGTGTTCCATTTGTGAGGTGTTCCACGTATAGAGGTTCATTTAACATTAAGTCAGCTGGTCTTGGGACTCTGAAAAGTGTTCCACTAATAGAGGTGTTCCACTTCTAGAGTTGTTTCACTGTACATGTATTTATTTTCAAAGATGTTTCTAAATTACTTAAGTATTTTCATATTTCACATTGAATGTTTCACATTAAAAATTACAAAAGTACATGTTGTCTTTCGCAATCTGTTTCCAGAGTTTTTCTGATGGTAGAAACCAAGCAGTGATGTTTGTGAGACCACTCAGGTAACTGTTTGCATATTTGCAAAAATATTTTACTTGATACATAACATTCTTGGATAGAATAGGTAAATACTCCCATAGTGGCCTCTCTTATCTAAACTTTGTTATTAAAATAGAAAAATTACAGCTTATACGGGGTTCTAAACAATGGCAGCTTGGGCATATTTCCCATGACCATGAAATAACCTGTTAATACATGTACATGTATATTGTATAACAATGTCACCACCAGAAAGTGTTGACATATTGTTATAGTCTCCAACTTATTTTTGGACAGTGTTTTGCGGTTGGTGTTTGACATTCAGTATCTGTAACAAATGGCTGGTGGTGACATTTTGCATGATAATGCCTTGTATATATTTAGCTGAATGATAGAGCTTCAGACATGTGGAACTTGTTGGTTGAAAACCTAACAAGGCGGTGTGACTTTCACATAAGCTTTTAAGCATAGGATTGATCTTGTCATGGTGATAAACTGTTTAAATTATTGTTCTTCTAGGGAATTTAGTAGTAAGGAAACTGCCTTATATAATAGAATGATGAGCTTAGAGCCATGCATTCAGCCAACTCTCACAACTAAGGTAAATATAACAATATTTCCTCTTGTAGACTGGAATACTGTAAAACATTCAGCTCTTGTAATTTTGAAGAAATATTTTCAAATTTTTAACTCCTACATATTGGGACTTAAATGGAAATAAAAGGCTCCTCCAAAATTTATTATTTGTTTTTCATTATTATTTTTTATATTGGCACAACTATCATTAATGATATAAGTATGACATACATTGCACATGTACCATACAGCAATAATACAAATATGTATTTTTAGTGCTATTATTTATTTATTTATTTATTTACAATAATTGTTGTACATTGTTACATGGTGGGCACTAAATGCCCATAAAATGACATATCAGTGCAATCACATTAAGGTTTATATGATTTTATTTTTCCAGACAGGATTGGGCTCAAGTATTGACCGACTTACTCAGTCATTTGTAGCCACTTTACAAGCTGGATTTCCTTCCACAGTTAGCACTATATTTAGGTAGGTGTTAACTATTACATAACATACATTCATATATTGTCCATTTTATGTAAGCATTGTTATACATTACATGTTAGTAGTTTAGATAATGCTTATAATACAAATGACTACTTTTTCGGCATTTTAACAACCTTTTCATTTCAAAATTATACAAATAGAAATTGATTTTAAGATGGAAGAAAGTCTGAAATCACTGAAGTTCATTCATTGTATCTTTGTACACCATAGTTTTGTTTACAATTGTGACAAATTACACAAATGGTACAAGGTGTCACTGGTAAATTTAATGTCAGTTGAAAAGTGATATTATGTCGTCATGTCCTGATAGGAAGACGTGCTCGTGAATGACTGGACAACATAAGAAATCTTGTCATATAAATTATTCATCAATTTAACTTGAATTTTTTTACATGCATGAGAGCACCTGAGTCCTAAGAACTGATTAGGATTTGGGCATGCAGCATAATTTACAAGGCATCCATTTTGTTTTTTAAGTGCAATGTTTATCATTGTGTGTCTTGTTTAAAGGGAAATAGCATCACAGGTGTTTATATACTCCACTGAAAGCATATGGATGTTATTTTTGTCATTCAACTAAACATTTACGAGAACGCATCATGATGTGACATTCAATGGAGATGATTGGTATTTATCTGATAGCATACATTGTGACTGAGTTAAATACAGTGGTAAAATAGAATCAAAGTAATGATTTGTCACTACCATTTGAACAAACCAAAATAAAGCAAACAGAACATCAGTCAAACAAATACAGGCTTACAGATCTCAAATAAACAATTGAAAAATGTAGAGAACTAAAACACTTCCTGATACCAATAAGTACCAGACATAAAGCATACGTGAACATAAGAATGAACCTAGGAGAACTAAATTGGACAAAAGGAGAGAGAGGCTAGAATCACTTACATACCTCACTGTTCCATAGCTGGGTGACTCTAACTGTTAGCGTCATTTTTTTTATTTTTTTAGCGTCATTCAAGATGGTTGCCAAAATTCTTTCGTTTTCGACAAACCTCCGATTTCAGCTAAAGTAAGCTGAATCTTGATTCCAAAAGTTTCGCCATGCAAACCAATAAAACTATGATCATAAAAAATGCAAATAAATGCCCAAACACCCGCAATATTAGAGAAATTGAAAGAAAACGGCTTCACTTAGAATGACTCTAACTGAGGTTGATGATGACAACTTCAGTTAGAGTCATGTGAAGCTATTTTCTTTAAAATCCACCCATATCGCGGTTGTTTACAATCATAGCTTTATAAGTTTGCATGGCGAAACTTTTGGAATTCAGATTCAACTTAGTCTAGCTGAAATAGGAGGTTTGTCGGAAACGAAAGAATTTTGGCAACCATCTTGAATGACGCTTACTGCAGTTAGAGTCATCCAGCTGTGGAACAGTGATACCTGTTAGGAGGATGTGATGGAGAAACACTAAAGCTTGTGGCAATAAGGTAAGAACCAATAGAAAATATATTTTATTGAACTAAATGAGGAAGTCATTGTTACGATCCACTCCATATGTCACTTATAAGCTATTAATAAGTCACCAATTTTTATGTGACCAATATGTCATATGTGATTCTTATGACCATACATATGTCAGCTCAGTTTTTTTGCCTTTGACAAATCACTAATTGTTATGCTATTGATAAAACCTCACCCATACTAGCCATTGATTAACTTTATTTTTTGCAGGTCCTGGCGCGTCATTCCACATAAACAGCCTATGACCCACTCTGTCAAGTTGTTTATGTTCAGTACATGCAACAGAATGTGTCTCGACTAAGAAGGGAACTAACATACCAAGTTAGCCATGTTCAGTGTATACCACGTCAGACCATGATCCTGTCTCAACTAAGATTGGAACATTGATGAATGGGAAATCCTTATAAATTATATGAAACAGAAAAGACTCAAGAGAAACTCTATTGAAGCAGCTCTACACAAACGCAAAACAAACAGAAGATGGCAAAATACATGACATTTAATAGATGTTTTGTCTGAAAACTCCCAAGTTTTTTAACCCTCTGTTCTAAAGAATATATACACTTAGTCATTAGACAGTCTAAAGGTGTTTTGGTGTACAAGCACATTAACCTTGTTCTGATTTATCTAGGTTCAACTCTTATTTTGAATTCACCAGTTTTCAAAGGCATACATCTGAAGTACTCCTTTGATTTGATATCCCAAGGTTTGAACTGGCCTTCTCTTGGAGGCAAAATGTTGAACCTCTGTAATAATGTAGCTGTGAAGAGGAATATTCTGGACTTGGCAAATACCTCCCCAACACACCCTCTCGCTCCTGCACCAAATGGCATCAACCTATAATCATAAAATCAGCTCAATTGACTTGGTTATTGTAATCTATATCTACCTAGTTGTCAGATCTGATACTGAGTAAACAGTGAAGGCAACTTTTAGGCTACTTGTATCAGTATATGATTATTTTTCAAATGTTTTTTTACATTATCTACTCAGTTGAAACATAATTTTCACATTATGTGCAATGTAGTTAAAAGATTGGGGAAATATAGTGTATTTTGACATTTCTTATTTCATATTTTTGTCCATTTTTCCTGATTTCTATTATATCATGTTTCTAAGTTCCATTGTTACTGTAAATTCACGTTCATTTGTTTGCACATCTTATGTTTGACCTTGTAATTTTGTATAATTTCTGTTTTGTACAAATTTTATTAGGTTTCAAATAAATATATAAGTGCAAATGCCAAAGGGAGAGGACAAAAAACTGTAAAGAAACTAAGTAAGAAAAGAAAACATGAAGTGCAAACCTGTTCTACTCAAAACTTTTCTAATTGCATATATTTGTAAACAAAGATTATGCTGTTCTTATAGCTCTGATATGTAGTTTCTCTTGCATGATCTTAGTATTTACAATTCTTATTTTTTCAAAAGCCCTAAGTCATATTTTCAACAATAGAATTGAGAAAAAATTAATAGTCTAAGAATCAAATATTTCTCACATACATTTTACGTGTATCAGCTGAAGCAAGGTTGCCCTCTTGCGTCATAAATCTTTCAGGCTTGAACTTCCATGGTTCATCCCAGAATCTTTCATCATGGTGCATGGACCACAGCATTGGCCAAACCTATAAGATCACATCAAAAACTAATGATTCATATAGGTTAACTTGCGAGACAATATTTGCTGATTTCTCCTGCATATTTTACATGTTTCTCCTCAGAATCTTTTTACATCATGATGCATTGCCCACAGCAATGGCCAAAAATAATAAGTCATATAGTTAAATTGCCAGACAATATTTGCTGATTTCTCTTACATGTTTACTATGAGGGAGCTTTGTGTATGCTGAACCAGATACTATTAATTCAATAAACCATATTTAAATATGTATATTTTTAAATTTTACATGATATTTTTGTACTCATGGTTTTATTGAGTGTTCACTAATCCTAGTTTCACACCCGTAATGTCATTCAGATTTTACAGGATAGTTTGCTCAATGATCATGTAAATAATTAAACAGAACACATTTATTAATTAAGTCAATTGCCATTTGTGCAATCATATGCACTTGAGTATAAAAAATGCAGCTCAGGATGAATTATGTGAAATTCTGCCATATTTCTGCTATTTATATTATAACAGGGTAGTAGTGTAATATTTCTCAGAGGAATGTAATTTATGCTATGGGTATACTCCTGTATTCTTCGAAGCAAGCAATATCCACCAATGGATTTATATGTTTGGGCTACATAGTTTGCAGCAAAGGAAATGTGTGATTTATACTTATAGGCCATGTGCTCAATTCTTTATGTCAAATTATTTTTTACTCTGTAAATACCTGCGTTCCTTTAGGCAGATCATATCCACCAATAGATGTAGCTTCCTGTGTCATATGTGGTACTGCTAGAGGAGTATGTGATCCATAACGAAAGATTTCATAAATTGTCGCTTCAAGGAATCCAAGCTGACCTCTATGGTGTAAAGATGGCTCATTTGTTTGACCTATGACATCATCTATTTGCTTCTGTATGTTTGCCTGGAGTTTCTGGTTTGATGCCATGATGTTGATGAATGCCAGAAGGAATTTATGGGTTGTTACAAAGCCTGTAATGGTTAAAACCAATGTTCAGTTGCTAATCATAAATTATCATACTATCTTGGCCTATAATATATTTCCATCAGTTTATTTGAGACATATTTTAAGTCAGGTTTTCAAATATAGCCCCTTTTCTACATTATAAAGCATGGCTTTTTTAATGTTTTGAATGGTTGAAGTAATTTGCCTTTTACTCGATCTGTCCAAATATGTTCAAGACACAGTCAATTAAAACTAAGTTTCTTGCCTCCAATAAAGATCTCAAAGACATCATCTTTGATATTGTTATAGTTGTAAGAAAACTGTACATCATCACTGTTCTGAAAATCCTTGTGAGCTTTGAAGTAAACATCATAGATTCCACGTAGATTTTCAGGATCAAATGTGTCCTGAAATGCATAACATTTTTTTAACCTCTTGAATCCCAGGCTCTAAAATCGGTTGAAACCAGAGATTTTTTTATTTTTGCCACCTTTTGACATTTTACGACATACCTATACAACTTCAGATGCTCAACTTAGTAAACTTAGATGGCAGAGATCATTTCTACAAACTTTAAAACAATTTTCGTGTAAATTAGATGAAAATTGTTCAAAAAAGAGCAATTTTGGTGAAAAGTTATTATGACGGATTTCCTTGTCACTCTGGGTTTCAAGGTCATTTCTGAGGTGACGAGAAATCTCGTCACAGCAGGTAGTCAAGAGGTTAAACCAGGATTCAAACCAGTTTGCCATGTTTTAGTTTGGTAGTCAGGTCATATTCCGAAGCACGAAAAATCAGATGTTTGCCAAACATCTGAGCAATGGAAGGAACAATCCTCATAATAACTTTTTACCATAGTATTTGTACACATTTCCCCCATTTGTTCATCATTGGATAGTTTCTCATCATAGCTCAAAATATCACGAGTAACCGTAGGTGTAGGTTTACAAAATGTATTATCACATAAAAAGGTACTAATGTATTTGCCACCCATGATTACTTTGTCCTCTTCGTTTCCCTCTTTTATTAAGCCTATTTGTATTGTATTTTGTGTATGCCCAATAAAGATGATACCTCTTTGGTATACATACCATAGTTTAGCTAATGTAATCAAAAACCATAAACCCATATGAGCACTTTTTTCTTACAATATGCACTTGGTTTGACATTAAAACACAAGTATACACTACAACACAACAAGCGATCAGGTTTGCTTGTACCATTGATCAAATTCAGGGCTACTGCATCATAAAAAAGATCTCTACTACTAAGATGGCAACTTACCTCTGTTGATTTCCAGTATGCTTGAATACTCTGACGTAGTTCACTGTATCTTTTCACCTCTTTGACTCCGGGAACAAATGGAAAGTGTATGAGAGAGGGAAAGGTATCTAGTAGAGCAAAGTGTCCACCTAATATGCGACCATCTATCATATCCAACTCTTTGTGTTCTTCGAGTAAATATGAATCTTCTTGTAAAGTAGTTCCTGTCACCTTGAAAAGTGTAGTTTTAATAGGGTACATATTATTCAGAAGTCCATTATAATGCTGAACTTATTCAGGTTAGACTTTTCTGAAGTTCTGTTATTTGGGATAATAACCAAGACTGAATTAGCTTGAAAGATAAAGATTAAGACATACCATGATATTTACGATTTGTGTGAAGCATTTTGCAAGGGGGTCATCAGGGTCAAAATCCTTGTTGAGAAAATCCTGTTGAAGTTCATCCATGAAGACAGTTATTTGAGACATCGAGACCTTCTCAATCTTGTCTAGCCCCTCACCAAATTGTTTAAGAGCCTTGTGAGCAAGTTTTCGTACGAATATAGTTCTTTCATCATAGTTTTGTCTCACCATGAATGATCCATTGGGCAGTTGACCAGCAATCAGTGGTAATTCAGGTCGGGCTGCAAACTCTTTACCTGACAAAATATTCATGTAGTACAGAAGAAGTGAGTACCTCCCATAATACTATCATATTGTATCGTATTCAGGGATTCCCCTTAGCCATCTCATATGGTCATACAAGCCTTATATGGATCTATCACATGATATTCAAAATGGCTGACAACGGTCAGTTGGATTCCTATATGGTCATGTAAGCCATATATGGATCTAGCACATGGGTACCACGTGATCGAATATGATGGCTGAACTTTGGGAGATCTGCATATAGTTCATTCTAATTTTTGTGTATTTTTGAAGTAAAATTCCACTTTTGGTATTATAAAGTATCACAACGCATAATTTCTATTAAATATTGCTGTTTATTCCATAGTTAGCATGATATTCATAGGATAACATGTGAAAATAAAAACGGTATTTTTGTAATCAGCGGTAAAATATGATATTTTTGACAAATTTTCACTTTAACCATAGCATACGGTTTTTTAGCCATGACATACGGCGCCGTATGCGATGGTTTATGGATTTTTGCTACTTCAGACTCAAAACGAGGCTAAGTGTCAACATCGCCGGATTGTTTGGAGAATTCGAATTAACTAACTTAATTTCCGACGATTCTAATGATGATTTTAACTATGGAATAAAAAGAACATCCTCTATGTATTTCACTAGAGATTCAGTGCTCATAGTTGTGCTTACATATGATATGAAAAAAATCACTATACAAAAATAAACTCCCAACCATTCCAAATAGTCCCTAACCTTTTCTGAAAAATGAAGTGTCATTGTCTGGTACTCCGCCACAAAAATGAGCATACCGTTTCAAAGAACTGACTTCCCTTTTTAAGAAAATTGACATTATAAGATTTCTTAAAATTGTTGATGGTATATTTGAAATTATTAAGATTATGCTAATTCATGAGATTTTTATTTCTGTAGTTGTTATTGTGATAGAATCATGACAAAACTTTTATATTACATTTAATCATCATTATATTTACCCTTTGAGACTAACATCTCATTGATATACTGCCCAGAAACCATAACAATCTCCTCTCCAAATAGGTCCACTTTGAAAACATCCCCATACTTGTTCCTCCATTTGACCAAAGTCTCCAAAGTGTTACCGTATGAGTTCATATCCAGGGCATTTCCTATTAGTGGCCATCCTGGGGGTCCAGGAAGTTTTGACAATGGAGTAGTGCCATTTGCCTTGAAGGTGAGGTATATAATAAGCAGGGCTAAGGCAACTGTGATCAGAAATGGAAGCATGGTATAGCTTAGAGCTAGAGTTGCAAAACCCAAGACTGGACCTAGCAGTCGTGGTATCACCTCACTTTGACCTAACATAATTGTCCAGATTCAGGTATTTAATTGAAGTAAACAATGGATTCCTTGCTGTGTGCTGTGTTCTGAGTGTGCTCAGTATCTTCCTTTATGGTCCCTGTTCTGGGTTGTGATGTTTATCTGGAACATTCAACATTTCTGAGACATGTCTACTGAGTTTGTGGTCATGTATTTCTTTGTATGTTACACCATTGATTACAGCCATAACGGCAGGTTAAAAGGCTCAGCTACTGAGTGAATGTAATTAAAGTTAAATACATATACTTACTTTTCAACACAATCTAAATCTTCTCTGGCTTTCTGTTGCAGCAGTTTTCATGCGTTCAGTATAGTTTTTCCAGAATCCTTTAATTATGTCAACAAAATAACCTTGTACTTCTCTCTGATAGGTCGACTTAGGGAAGACATCAAAAATTCAATATCTAGTGCTATACTTGTATAAATGTAATTTTATTTCCCCTCTGGACGTCTGCCTCTCGATCTAATGAAATCAGTGGGTTTGAATTATTCGATCACAATACCTATTACTTCAATTAACTTTTTGACTTATAGAGCATTTTGTTTCGTTGTAAGTGATTACCTTTGTATTTTATTTGGAATTGTAAGGGGTAACCAGTATAAAACATCCCCTTATGTTGAACTTTTTATGATTTAATATAGGAGAAATGTATCTAAATTTAGTTAAAGATTAGTTAAAGAAGGGCATAGACTTGACTTTTGATCAAAAATTATTGCTGTTTTAAGAGGTACCCGACCACTGCCTATTTAACAATAAATTATTGGATCTGCTTAAACTGACAGTCAAGTGAACTTGATAATGTATGTCAATGTGTTCTAATTGATTTCTTGTGTCTATGTGTCAAAAGAGTGTGTACATGTGCACCTTACTTGTTTATGAAGGGCTGTTTCATATACAACTGAATAATGCCACAGTCAAACATGACACAAATGTCTCTAAAATGCAATGACCGACAAATGCATTTAGTGCTATGTTTCCAACTTGCATCTATATTTGGATATGTACCATGTTGACTATGGTTAGGAAATAAGTTTAAGGTGATCACCAAGAATATATTTCAATTATACAATTCCAAACTCATATTTTTTTTAATATATGAATAGTATGGGTGACATTAGACTGCCATGGAGGTTCTTAGCTGACTAAGTTACCATTGTGTACAACTACGTGCAGATAAATGTTGAACAGATGATGAATAAATTATGTTAGCAAGAAGTAAAATAGAAATCATACAAAAGTCATATTACCTTGTTTGTCACCATTTTTTCAAACTCATACAACACATTACCTAATGTTGTCACCTTTTCACCAACCATCTCTCATCTCACCATATTTTTCAACTTTTCATCGACCTTATTTGTTACCTTTTCACTAGCTCATATTTTATCTTACCATATTTATCTTATTTATCACATTTCACCAACCATCTGTCATCTGACCATATTATTCACCTTTTATAACCCCCATTTCTATTACCTTATTTGTCAACCCTTGTATCATCTCATTTTAACTGACCTTATTTGTTACCTTTTCACTAGCTCATATTTTACCTTGCCATATTTACCTTATTCATCACATTTCACCAATCATCTGTCATCTGACCATAATATTCACCTTTTAACAAACCTTATTTCCATTACCTTATTTGTCAACCCTTGTATCATCTCATGTCACCTGACCTTATTTGTTACCTTTTCACTAGCTCATATTTTACCTTACCATATTTACCTTATTTATCACATTTTACCAACCATCTGTCATCTGACCATATTATTCACCTTTTAAACAACCCCTATTTCCATTACCTTATTTGTCAACCCTTGTATCATCTCGTGTCACCTTACTTTTCACTAACTCACATATCACCTTATTTAATTTGTTTTCAGAACTGGAGAGAAGCTGAGTTCAGAGTTGGACAAGAATAAAGAGGATGATTTCTGTATTATGTGTCAGGTGAGCAATACTTTTTGTTACTGTTGTAACAATGATCTGACATCACAATGGTGTGTCTTTTTTTCAAATCGATGTTTAATAACAAATAACTAATTAGTGCAGGTACATGTATATATTGACCTTGTCCATGAGTTATTGTATTAATATACTCAGTTTAAATGATTTATGTAGTTTGTAGAATTTGATTGGTCCATTCTGATCACATGACTGTTAGTAACAGGGTAAAGACCTCCTTCACTATGCTGGATACCAGTAGGCCAGATTCAAATATTTCCAAAGATAGACAATTCTTTAGTAAATTGAGAAACAACTTGTTTGCACTTTTATAATGATACAAAAGCAAAATCACATGACATGTGTCATGTGCATGTTATGAATGCGCCTTTCAATCAAATTGAGTCAATCAATAGGAAAAATGGTAATTGATTCTAAACCATTTTCATACAAGTAAAATAGATTTCACCAGTCTTATATTTCCATAATATCACTTTGAACTGTCATGTTTAGCAATGGGGGAAATAAGAGTGCCATGTCTTTAACCACAATGCGCCTCACCTTTGCGATACAAATGTTGCAATATGGAACATGTACTGTGATAGATTTTTACCACATTGCATGCTTTAAATGGATCAGAAAGCGACTTTTAATCTTCCAAATTAAAAAGGGGATTAAGGCATATGCATATGGGCCACATAACCTTTTACCACCATCATTAATGCATCGGAGTGTCAGTGGTTATGGTAGCCCATCATATGAACCGTACAAGGTCAAAGGCAGCTCTTGTGACTGGTAATTGTTTTAATCCAGTATCTAGTTTCTCTTCAAAGTATGGTTACTTTATACAACATTAGATTTCAAATATTGTATTGTCTTTATGATTTGAGGCTTTGAAACTCCTAAATTGTCCCCCATATTGGTGAAAATTCTGAAATGACTCCCAATGTCTGTCTTATCACTGCAAATAAAGGGTAGAATAGATGGTAAATACGACATTTTATTATACAGATTCATGAATATACTGTTACTCCTTTTTATTTCTAGTTGAGCATTCATTAAACAAAGTCAACTTTGTCTCAAAAAAGTATGAAACTTATGCATTAACAAACGCACGCCTAACCATGGACAATGTACAGTGACAAAATATATAAGAATCTGTTAACGTAATTAGAAGGTTAAAAGTCTTAACCAAGAGCATGTACAAGAAATTAAACATGAAATACTTTATCATATTCCTCAGATATATTTTTAAAAACCTACATCGCAGTTTTTCCTTCAAATTGTTACAACATGACAATGTACAACTAAAGTGTACACCCGTATATTTTGTCACTGTACGTTGTTGATGGTAAGGTGTAAAGGAAACTATTTTCAAAACACAAACAGGGAATGACATATAGAGTAAACTATTTTCCTTACCAGAAACTCATTGCCCACTGACATGTTCGCAGTATTATGCACCAATAGATGTCTCTGATGTGGGGTAAAAATAGTTATACTAAATAACGATTTCATTAATAATATACTTAGTCAAGCATGCATTTTTGTATTTCTGCTTTTTAAACAATATTCATTTTTCAGAGTGTATTGGATACAGATACCCCAGAATCATCAGCCTTATCAGCAACACTTTTTTCTCAGAAATTATCGTCAGTGGCGGTACCTGGTGAGAAAATGTGTAAAGAGACATCTGGTGAGGAAAACTGCTGTGGGGAGGGGGATGGAAGCTGTAAGTCAACTAACAAAACTGGGTAAGGATTGAATTAATATGTGTTTGAAATCAGTATATAAGGCAAGGCAAAATCAAATCAGCTAGGTGAGGAAAATCTTAAGCCTGGAAGAGGATATTACACGATGGGACATATTTTGTCTCAACAATACACAATTTATAGCTAAGAATATGACTGATTTAATTGTTGTTATGTTTATTATGATAAAGGCTAAATGCAGCAGGTGTTTTCTTGGGCAATGGGAATAAAATACAAAGTCATATGCTTCAAGAACTTTGTTAGGATTTTTCTACAATTGAAATATTTGAATATTCCGACCTACTTTGGAGTAATTGATGCTTAAATGTAGTTAAGACCTTCAAACCAATTGTTCGTGGTTGTGTGACAATCACAAATGTACTTATCATCCCAATTTAGAAGTACATATCCACTTTTTGGAAAAGCTTTTGAAGCTGATTTATTTAATAATTTGGAGGTTCCCCTCCCTAAGCACAAGTCAATGTTCAGATAAACCCAGCCATTGTTTCTGATCTAACCACAGTTAATAGTACCACAAGAATATTTTATAGACTTTTTGCTCCTTAGATGTTTTCAAAGTCATCATGGTTCAATGTCTCTAATGGGATATTTATAATGGTTTATGTAATGTTTTCAATTTAGCAAATAATTGTGTGTCATGACAATGTTATATCAATTTTCCTGACATAACCTGTAACTGCCACTGAATTAACAAAACCACAAAAGGAATGACTTTTCTGAGAAAGGGAATTGTAAAACAAGTGCAAGAGATGAAATAAATTATTATAGTAACTTCGATCAACCACTATTTTTACAATTACTTAACAAAATGTATTGTTTATATAAGAATTTAATTTATTAGTACATGTATTCGTCAATTTTTTTGAAAGAAAGCATATCATAGAAAATTGTCATGGTTTTATAGGAACCAATTTTAACCACTAACACACTGAAGCATATGGACTCCTAAAGCGACTACATTGACTAATTGCTGATCCAAGTTCTTGGTTTTGAAAAGTAATAAATAATTCGTTAAAATAGCAAGTTAATGCATTCTATTGTTATCTTTCAAAATGCTCGGGTTTTGGTTTTCGAATTAAAATGTGTTACAATTACCACTGTTAAAGGGATATTCCTTGCTAGCCCAATTCTTTCTTCATATAGTACCTTTAACCATTTTTATACTATCAATTTTTGGCAAATATGAGAAAATGTTTTGAAATGGTCAAAACTGATCATTTGAAAATGTAATGCTAATTTTTGTGGGCTGCCATCATTTATGATTTCACACAGGAAGTGATGTCATCAACTCCTTAATTTGCACATCACATAAGGCAAGGAGGTAATGTATTCTTCTATAGATAATCTCTTCTTTTACTAAAAGTTGACAAGCCCTGGAAATATTTTTGCACAGAAAGTAAGGTTCATGACTTAGTCATCTAAGATGTCATTTTGTGCTACTTTCTTTTATGTTATGGGCAAGTTTATAAAAGTTAAGAGCCAATGACATCACTTCCTGTATGAAATTTTAAAAGATAGCAGCCAGTAAATATCAAACCATTTTCCAATGTTTAACTAAAAACAGATAGTAATATAATGGTAATATCAAATCAAGAGAGAAATGGGCTTGCAAGGAATATCCCTTTAAACTGAAATCTTAAAAGCTTGCAAGGAATATCCCTTTAAATTGAAATCTTAAAAGCTTCTTCGTGTAATAGAGTCTATTAGTTATGTAAAACATGAAACAATTACCATGAAAATTAACTGTAATAAACTCAAAAGCTGTACCTTTACCCTGTTTAATAGTTTTTTAATTGAATGTGATTAATTAAATTGAATTATATCAAAATAATTAAAATATGAATTTAATTAAAACTTTTTATGTTTAATTGTGAAAACTGTAAATATAATTGAAATGACTGAGAATCTATGGTGACATGTTGTTATGGTCTTTAACTTTTTTGTTGACGATGTTCAGTGATCGGTGTTTGGCAGTTGATGTTGGGAATTCTGCAGTTGTTGTTTGGCCGAAAAGGAAGGAAAAGTTATGTCATGGGAGATGATATGGTTGAAAAAATTACATAAAGCATTTCTACTTGGAAAAAACAGCTTCTTTCAGACTGAAATAAGTGACTTTTCAGTTGATATAGGATATTTTGGTGTGCTTTTTTAACTTGACACTACTCGCATAATATGGAAGTGATCTCTTTCATATTTCTGACTCATGCTAATGCTACCCTATACATGTAGTTCCTCAACAAAGATTTTCAAAGAATCCAACTTCTATTGCTGAGAAAATAATTGTCAAAAATTGGCTCACTTTTGGGACACCCGATATATTCCAAATAATTCACAAATTGTTTTTGTTCTTTGCTTGTCATTGCTTTTTTATGTTGGCACCTCTTGGTATAGCCACAATTTTTGTGACAAGCTTTTGTGGATAGTATTTAGCATCTGTATATTGCATAAATTTGGCATCTGTAACTAGTAGTCACATTTTTGTTGTTATTGTTAATTGTGATTGTTAATTTGCTTGTGTTTGTTTGTCTTGGTAATGCTTGTTTATAGCATGTTTGTCATTGTGGGGGTACATATGCTCGAACCCAACCTCAGGAAGCCAGAATTGAAAATTGGTGGTCTTAAAATGTGGTTACCTTTTACAATCCTTTTTAATGGAGCGTTAATTACTTAGTAAGTACTTAGTACGTCATTTAGCTAGGCTCATGTACTCTATTGTATTTGTGAATGCTGATGACATTGAAACATACTTGTTTAATTATTTTAATTAGCATAGTGAGAGATGAAAGACTAAAGTGGGTTATGGGTTATTGCATACACCCATCAATTTCAATTTTACACATCTTATCTTATGTATCAGGTTGCATCAAGCTGTCTACACCTCAACCCATTTAATGAGCCATGTTACCAGATTTCACCTGCAGTTCGGAGGCAAGTTTACAAAAAATGGGATTACATGTTCACTTGCATGTTGATCTTACTGCTCCATTGTGCGAGAATATTCCATTGTTTCTTTTTGATTTTAATGGATATTTCGCCTATATGAGTATAATAGAGTACTCGACTTTTTACCTGACATTAAATTATCTCCAGAACTGTCATTTACCTCCAAATTATATGAAGCGACAAGCCTCTTATTATTCCACTGGATGTAGTTCGTAAGAGCCACAGAGACCCTCTCCATCCATCTGTCCACCCTTTGCCCATTCATCGTTTCCTATGTCCCTCTGTACGTCTGTTCAGGTGGTTGGATTTGGTTCATATTTTATTGGCTGAAACCTGACATGCGTACCTGTGCTCAGGAAGGAATTTCCAGTATGGTCACTCAATTTAAACGGGCTACTATTTTTCGTAAAAAATGTAATCTTTGGTAACTTAAATATGTTGGTAGAATTTGAAATTCAAGCAATTTTTATTTCAGTAGTTTGGACAAGGAAGATCTGTTGCCACTGAGCTGTTACGGATGTAGGCTGATACTCAGAGAAATGGTAAGAATATTTGTAAGCTGTTTTTCATCTGTCAATAAATGTATCCGTTGTCAAATGTGTTCACTTTCATTCAATCAGGGTGTCTCTGATTCACTTTATCCCCCTGCCAATCAGTGTGTCACTTTAATGTGTCACATACTAATGTGTCACTTACTTAAGTGTCTCATTTCATTTTTTTTCCTTTAGTGACCTACATCCCTGCAAGATATGAGGTTTATTTCCATCAAATTTTACATGATGAAGGAGAAAAATCAACTGTATCTTTACATACATTGCAATGCAAGTGATCAATCAAGTTGCGCTGTATATTCAGCTACCTTTGTACCGTATCATATATACTATATATTTAGTACAGTATGTTATAGATTTACATACATTCTCCTTGCATATATGCACGCATATTGTAGATTTACATACATTCTCCTTGCAGAGTTCAACTACCTGTATACCTGGTGATATCATATATACTAGTATATTGTAGATTTACATACATTCTCCTTGCATATATGCACTCATACTGTAGATTTACATACATTCTCCTTGCAGAGTTCAACTACCTGTATACCTGGTGATACCATATATACTAGTATATTGTAGATTTACATACATTCTCCTTGCATATATGGATGCATATTGTAGATTTACATACATTCTCCTTGCAGAGTTCAACTACCAATGTACCTGGTGATATCATATATACTAGTATATTGTAGATTTACTTACATTTTCCTTGCATATATGCACGCATATTGTAGATTTACATACATTTTCCTTGCAGAGTTCAACTACCATTGTACCTGGTGATACCATATATACTAGTATATTGTAGATTTACATACATTCTCCTTGCATATATGCACGCACATTTTAGATTTACATACATTCTCCTTGCAGAGTTCAACTACCATTGTACCTGGTGATATCATATATACTAGTATATTGTAGATTTACATACATTCTCCTTGCATATATGCACGCATATTGTAGATTTACATACATTCTCCTTGCATATATGCACGCATATTGTAGATTTACATACATTCTCCTTGCAGAGTTCAACTACCTGTATACCTGGTGATATCATATATACTAGTATATTGTAGATTTACATACATTCTCCTTGCAGAGTTCAACTACCATTGTACCTGGTGATATCATATATACTAGTATATTGTAGATTTACATACATTCTCCTTGCAGAGTTCAACTACCTGTATACCTGGTAATATCATACAGGAGGCAGAGAAAAGAATAAGAAGGTATGCATCTCAATTTTTTTACATTTTAAAAAACTTGTCTTTAATATCATTTCAAAATATTTATTTTAGCACTGAATTTAATTAAAGTCATTTGAAAGTGTAGCTATCCAATATGGGAATAAGACATGAAGATCAATTTTTCAAATTAGTTTATACCATTATGATATTAAGAAATATTAGTCCCATAATGCACTGCTCAACAAGGGAGACTGTTCCCAGAAGTCCTTGCAAAAGCTAATGTCATTAATTTAGTATATAAATTGATACATTTGCTCACTGGCAACTCTAGGTTACTTTGGGAAATAATTTATCATAACATGTGCTGACTTTCAATTAGATATCTTTGATGATTTCCCTTCATGAGGGATGTACTATAATCTAGTAAATATTTTCCACCCATCTATCTGTTCTTCCGTTATGTTATGTTTGTTAAAATAAATGCTTATGGAAAGGTGAATGATTTACAGTTCTTTAACTCAGAAAAATATGGGATAAGATGTACGGAAAAGATTTACGCAAAATACAAATTAATTAAGAGAGGAATATAGCACTATCCAGGGCCCTCCTAAATGTTTTGCCCTTTTTGGAGTCCTTGATTTCCAACAGTTGCACACTCTAGTTTCTCATAAACTTTTCAGAGAAGATTGCATTTTTTAATGGTCTTTTCTGGCTTCTTTCTCAAATATTTATAGTTCAATGGAAATGTGACAGTAAACTCAAAGAATGATTTTTGATATTGCAAATGGTTTTGAAGATATCATTTAATAACCATTATTGGCCAGATCATTTTTGAAAACATTCTTTTTATTCATTTAGTTTTGAAAATAATTTGTAACCCCCCCCCCCCTATTTCCCAAACATATGTTTTTATAACAGATAATTATTACTAAGTGCAATATTAAGGTACTTCATACTTGTGAAACTACATATTTTGTAGGATGGGATTTGCTTCTATGATGAATTGTCATTTCTAGTTTTGACAAATGAAGATGAGACTACAAATATACACTGTGCACTCTTACTAGTTATAAGTCCAATCTTAAACTTCTGTTCCATATCATGCTTATTCTACACTATCTCTTTCAAGAATACCCCAATTTTCCACCATTTTCAGAGAATTTAATTAAAAAATGTATCTGGCCTGAGTTACATAACTCCCTGGCCTGACAATATACTTTTTGTTTCAGTTTCAACTGAGCATTGAGCTATTGTAATATTTTATCCAGGCACTTCAAGGCAATGAACGTCAGCCATAGCCCTACAGCGGTTGTTTGTCGAGGCTGCCTTGTCTGATTAGACCATCATGTGTATGATTTATTAAGATGAATTTCATCACAAATTGATATAAATTAATGACTACATTGATGTTTCATCTTTAAGCCTTTACGTATATAGAATCACTTTGAAGAGATTTGCAGAATATTAATATTTTGAGCACAGTGTCTCTCCATGCAGCACTTTCACAGACAGACAGACAAACAATGTTTTATGCTATTTAATCGTATTAAAAAAGATGGTAGAGATGTTGACTAATTTCACATATTGTTCTTCTTCTTATTTTGGTGGATTTGCTGTTTTTTACATTTTGCGGCTACAAAAATTTAATTTGGCGGACTTGCAATATTATAATGTACAAATGGTACTAATTTACATGGTACTAAAATTACTAGGAAATTTGGCGGCTTCTTAATTTGGCAGACTTTAACAGTTTGGCGGATCCGTCAAATTAAAATGGCAGCCAAATTAAGTTGAAGCAGTAAGAGAGAATGAGGGAGAGATGTTGACTTAAGACATAAAAGAGAATGAGGGAGAGATGTTAACTAAAGACATAAAAGAGAATGAGGGAGAGATGTTGACTTAAGACATAAAAGAGAATGAGGGAGAGATGTTGACTTAAGACATAAAAGAGAATGAGGGAGAGATGTTCACTTAAGACATAAAAGAGAATGAGGGAGAGATGTTAACTTAAGACATAAAAGAGAATGAGGGAGAGATGTTGACTTAAGACATAAAAGAGAATGAGGGAGAGATGTTGACTTAAGACATTAAAGAGAATGAGGGAGAGATGTTCACTTAAGACATAAAAGAGAATGAGGGAGAGATGTTGACTTAAGACATAAAAGAGAATGAGGGAGAGATGTTGACTTAAGACATAAAAGAGAACGAGGGAGAGATGTTAACTTCAGACATAAGCGAGAATGAGGGAGAGATTTTGACTTCAGACATAAGCGAGAATGAGGGAGAGATTTTGACTTCAGACATAAGCGAGAATGAGGGAGAGATGTTGACTTAAGACATAAAAGAGAATGAGGGAGAGATGTTCACTTAAGACATAAAAGAGAATGAGGGAGAGATGTTGACTTAAGACATAAAAGAGAATGAGGGAGAGATGTTGACTTAAGACATAAAAGAGAATGAGGGAGAGATATTGACTTAAGACATAAAAGAGAATGAGGGAGAGATTTTGACTTAAGACATAAAAGAGAATGAGGGAGAGATGTTGACTTAAGACATAAAAGAGAATGAGGGAGAGATGTTGACTTAAGACATAAAAGAGAATGAGGGAGAGATGTTGACTTAAGACATAAAAGAGAATGAGGGAGAGATGTTGACTAAAGACATAAAAGAGAATGAGGGAGAGATGTTAACTTAAGACATAAAAGAGAATGAGGGAGATATGTTGACTTAAGACATAAAAGAGAATGAGGGAGAGATGTTAACTTAAGACATAAAAGAGAATGAGGGAGAGATGTTGACTTAAGACATAAAAGAGAATGAGGGAGAGATGTTGACTTAAGACATAAAAGAGAATGAGGGAGAGATGTTGACTAAAGACATAAAAGAGAATGAGGGAGAGATGTTGACTTAAGACATAAAAGAGAATGAGGGAGATATGTTGACTTAAGACATAAAAGAGAATGAGGGAGAGATTTTGACTTAAGACATAAAAGAGAATGAGGGAGAGATGTTGACTTAAGACATAAAAGAGAATGAGGGAGAGATGTTGACTTAAGACATAAAAGAGAATGAGGGAGAGATGTTGACTTAAGACATAAAAGAGAATGAGGGAGAGATGTTAACTTAAGACATAAAAGAGAATGAGGGAGAGATGTTGACTTAAGACATAAAAGAGAATGAGGGAGAGATGTTGACTTAAGACATAAAAGAGAATGAGGGAGAGATGTTGACTTAAGACATAAAAGAGAATGAGGGAGAGATGTTGACTTAAGACATAAAAGAGAATGAGGGAGATATGTTGACTTAAAACATAATAGAGAATGTGGGAGAGATGTTGACTTAAGACATTAGAGAGAATGAGGGAGAGATGTTGACTTAAGACATAAAAGAGAATGAGGGAGAGATGTTGACTTAAAACATAAAAGAGAATGAGGGAGAGATGTTGACTTAAGACATTAGAGAGAATGAGGGAGAGATGTTGACTTAAGACATTAGAGAGAATGAGGGAGAGATGTTGACTCAAGACATAAATGAGAATGAGGGAGAGATGTTGACTAAAGACATAAAAGAGAATGAGGGAGAGATGTTGACTTAAGACATAAAAGAGAATGAGGGAGAGATGTTGACTTAAGACATAAAAGAGAATGAGGGAGAGATGTTGACTTAAGACATAAAAGAGAATGAGGGAGAGATGTTGACTTAAAACATAAAAGAGAATGAGGGAGAGATGTTGACTTAAGACATTAGAGAGAATGAGGGAGAGATGTTGACTTAAGACATTAGAGAGAATGAGGGAGACATGTTGACTCAAGACATAAATGAGAATGAGGGAGAGATGTTGACTCAAGACATTAAAGTGTCTTTCTGAGACTTAGAAGGAGAAATTTGAGATTTCGAGCCATATGTCTCAAGAAAATGCTCTTACCTTTCTGGTAGGATGAGTTCAGGTGCCAAAAACAGCTGATCAAAGGATATATATCATTTTCTAATTGAAAATTTTTGTTGAGCCATGCATTTTTGACACTGTTTTGACAGGAAGTCATACCCAAAATGAAAACTGAAGAAAACAACATTTATCCTAAATGTACATCAAAATACTTACTCAGACATGCAAAATGTTATTATTAGTAGTAATGCTAATCATTTTTAAGAAATTTAAGCATGTAAATAAGACTTTTTTCGTCCATAATTATATAGATAAAGAATTTCTTCCTTCAGAAAGCTCTGGCACTGTGGTGTAGTGGTTAGAGCTTTGGGCTCAATCAGACTTTTATTCCAAGAGATCTGGGTTCAAATCCCAAGGGTGGAACATGTTTTTATTCTTTATTTTTGTTTTTTTTTCATTTTGATCCACAATATTTCTAAAATAAATTTTTATATATGGCACTTAAACCATATCTAGTATTTCCAAGGGTTTTAATTTTTAGATGAAATGATAGAAAGTTACTTTAAAGAGAATGAGGGAGAGATGTTGACTAAAGACATAAAAGAGAATGAGGGAGAGATGTTGACTTAAGACATAAAAGAGAATGAGGGAGAGATGTTGACTTAAGACATAATGACATAAGACATAAGAGAATGAGGGAGTGGGGTCATATCTTGGTAAGGAGACTAGGAAGATGGCAGGAGGTGACAAAGAGCTAGGATGCTTCTCCCTTAGGAGACAATGGGATAGAGTTGATGTCGCTACTTTACTGTGACATCACATACTGTCTCCATCCATCTGCCTGTCACTCTATACATCCAAACTTGTTTCCATCATTTTATACCGCTAAAAATTGTATTTCCTGGGGTTTTCCCTATTTACAAACATTGACAATGAGAGTGTAGAATGATGTCAACTTTGTACACATTAGAACACACTCATGTACATTTCTACTCAATTAGGGTCCCTGGTCTATAAATTAGGCCCCTCATACATGAAAACTAAAATTTGAAATAACTCGAACACTGGATTGAATATAGAGTTGAATATTTCAGTAATACATTGATTAATTAAACATTGCATGAAAAACTGGAATTTTCAATTTCCAAGAAAGAATGGGGTGTAATTGAAATAGTTGAGGTTTTCTAGATGGGAGGGATTGGTATAGGTGATGCCAGAACCATGTTGTGTCATTAGCGTATCCTGTGGGTTCATCTGGTGACATTTTGCTCAGTCCCATGGGTGTGGTATTTAACAATCACCATACCTTCCGCACTTAAATGGTTATCTGATCTGTGTAGTTTTACTCAAGTTGACTAATTATGACCCTTGCTACTTTCTGTCATGACAGGAACCATTGTGTCAAAATCTCATTATATTTCAACTTTAAAATTAAATCAAAATTAAATCAATCTCGAAATATGCCCCACGAAATTCAGAACGCCTTCTCTTTTAGTTTAATAACAATTCAACTTTGGATAGTTATTTAATGTTTTTTGTCAAGAATAATTTGTGTCATTGGTGTATGGTTGTCCCAATGTCATTTGTAAAACGGCCATTAGTTTTCTGTGTTTTGTCATCATTGATATATCATCGTCATGACAATTAGTCAAACTAATGGGATAATTAGATCAACATCTTTTCAGGTGGATCATAAAATCTACAATTTGCAATAATGGCTGAAAAATCAACAAGGTTTATGCATTTTGGTTGGATTTATATATATATAAGATTTGATATAGTGTATATTAATATGTCTATGATAATATGATTTTTTTTTTTTTTTTAATTTTATTTGTGAAAATTGTCGTCTCATTCAAGCAGGTAAAGGATTAGGAATTGTCATTTACATATGAACTTATAATATTATTAATGGAGTGCTTGTCACAGGGTATTGAACTGTCTGTCAAAACATAATACTGTAACTACTTAGCGACCCAAGTTCTAGCTATGTAGCTTCCGTTACAAGTTTTAAAACATTGGTTTAGGTACTCCCTACTGTAAATATCTTCAACCATATTCATATACGATCGTATATACCATCGTACATCAAAAAAATCAAAATGTTACCATTGTTGAGACCCTGAACACACATGCAGCTTAACTTTTGTAACTTAGCTTGGATTCGCAATTCGCAAAGCCTGTTGGCTACCGGATTTACCTGCAACTCATTTAAATATGAATAGTACCTGCCACTATTCCATTCATACTTAAATGAGTTGGTCATGAAATATTAGGTAATCCGGTAGCCAACAGGCGTTAGTTGCATTCGCGAATACAAGCTAAGGCTTTCATTTGATGTTTTATACCTGTCTTATATGAACCGATTCTTATTAATTGTACATGGAAGTTGTTCCCCTGTATATTGAGAATTATATATTGTGGTAAACAGACTGCTAAGCTAAGATCAATTTCTAACTTCATTATTCATTGCCAAAAGTAAAACACAGTTTTATCTATACAGGACAAAATATAGATGAATGCCAAGATACAACTTCATATGCACATATTAAACTGTAACTTAAGCCATGGTTTTATTTAACTTTATTTTAATATAGCTGTAGATTCTGATTTCACTGGGTGTCCATTGTTGATTAATAGATATTATTATGTTTGCAGGAGTGCAATGAAGTCCAGTATCCAGGGGTACCTACTAGAGGATGAATGATAATAAAACAGGAGTTAACCTTAAGTACAGTCAGCCTATAAGGAGTTAACCTTAAGTACAGTCAGCCTATAAGGAGTTAACCTTAAGTACAGTCAGCCTATAAGGAGTTAACCTAAAGGACAGTCAGTCTGTTATGGATGGTCGGGTCATGCTTAATTCCAAAGAGTTATCTGAATGAATTTAAACGAAGCACAGCAGATCTATCTGAATATATTTTTAAACAATTTGAAGTATAAAGTTCTCAGATATCTGACTTATTTCAACATGTGGGCTGGGACTATTTCATTCATGATATTATTTCAGTTTTGGCAGGATTCAAAGGAAGAGTGTCTTTATAAAGTATTTCAATTGTAAATGTCTTTTAAACCTTAAAATGACATCAAATTATGTTTTTTTAATCAAGGTCAATACTTTTATGTTTAAATATTTATTGTATTTTGAAAATTTGGGATCACTTGCTTGATAACAGATTTTTGAAAACTTTATCACACTCAAGGCCTGAAATTAAATGACTCTTATACATGTCAGGCTAATGGTAAAATGAGAAAGTAATGCACATTCCACAAAGACCCATGGGCTATGGTATCCCTTGTAGTGTAATGCCGCTTTTTTATGGTTGTTTTAAAGGCACTCCTACTTTCTGAAACCAACCATGTTTTATTCTACTGAGCTACTTCTACAAAAGTATCCAAAATATAAGAATTAATGCGTTACTTCATCCTCCAAACAAAGGCCTCCAGAACTCGTACCTCATTCATCTTGCTAGAAGGAACGTAGTGGATGATGTCTGGAGTCCCACGTTCGAAGGATGGCAAATCTCGTAAAATGTGAATAATAAGCCAAGTATGAAATATTCCCATTCTTTGAAATCAGATAGATATCCCATAGTGCCTGTTAAGTTTAATCACTGACTTCATTATAACCACTCTTGAGTAGAGCCGGCACAACCAGAAACCAGAAACACACTGTGGAGAGTCAGTGGTAGTCATACTATATATCTGATCACATGTCAGAATTAATCTAAATAGATATGCATATCCAGGACCAAATATGGACAAATGAAACAATTAAAAACATAACACCAAGAGGATAGATATTACCATACAATATTTTCAGGTTGTATTTATGATTAGTAATCTCATATTTCAAAATGTAATGATTGTATGGACATGATTTGTATATACTATCTGCAGTAAACACCTAATGAAAATATCTGTTTTCTTCTGTCAATGTCTTCAATAACAGATTGTATACTCACTTTTCCATATTAGGTGTCACTTTTACAAATTAAATGAACTGGACCTATGTATACAATCTGTATGTAGCTTACATATAGTGTATCCACAACGTTTCTACAATTACAATACAAAGTAAAGTAGAATGTAAAGTGTATTGAGACTATAGACTGGTTTTATTAATTGAAAAGTATATAACTTCTATTTAATTTGACAGAATTGTAACTTTTATTTTAACATGAATAAATTATAAACTGGATCAAAACAGATGTTTCAATCTTTTTCTTTGCTTTTAGCCAGTAATGATCTCCGGCGTTTATTGTATGACATTTTAGAATGTGGTACGATCAAGTGACATCATTGAATGGTTGACTCATTTCTATTGGCGACATGATAGAATGAATGGTTGAATCGTATAAGTGACATCATAGAATCGGGTGGTTGAATTGCATATGTGACATCATAGAATCGGGTGGTTGAATTGTATACGTGACATCAAAGAATTGGGTGGTTGAATTGCAAATGTGACATCATAGAATTGGATTGTTGAATTGTATAAGTGACATCATAGAATTAGGTGGTTGAATTGCATACATGACATCATAGAATTGGATGGTTGAATTGTATAAGTGACATCATAGAATCGGATGTTTGAATTGGATAAATGACATCATAGAATTGGGGGGTTGAATGCCATATGTGACATCATAGAATTGGATGGTTGAATTGTATAAGTGACATCATAGAATCGGATGTTTGAATTGGATATGTGACATCATAGAATTGGATGGTTGAATTGTATAAGTGACATCATAGAATTGTATGTTTGAATTGCAAATGTGACATCATAGAATTGGATGGATGAATTGTATAAGTGACATCATAGAATTAGGTTGTTGAATTGCATATATGACATCATAGAATCGGGTGGTTGAATTGCAAATGTGACATCATAGAATTGTATGTTTGAATTGCATATCTGACATCATAGAAGTGAATGGTTGAATTGTATAAGTGACATCATAGAATCGGATGTTTGAATTGTATATGTGACATCATAGAATTGGATGGTTGAATTGTATAAATGACATCATAGAATTGGGTGGTTGAATGGCATGTGTGACATCATAGAATTGGATGGTTGAATTGTAGAAATGACATCATAGAAGTGGATGGTTGAATTGTATAAGTGACATCATAGAATTAGGAGGTTGAATTGCATACGTGACATCATAGAATCGGGTGGTTGAATTGCAAATGTGACATCATAGAATTGTATGTTTGAATTGCATATCTGACATCATAGAAGTGGATGGTTGAATTGTATAAGTGACATCATAGAATTGGATGGTTGAATTGTATAAGTGACATCATAGAATTGGATGGTTGAATTGTAGAAATGACATCATAGAGTTGGATGGTTGAATTGTACAAATGACATCATAGAATTGGGTGGTTGAATGGCATGTGTGACATCATAGAATTGGATGGTTGAATTGTAGAAATGACATCATAGAATTGAATGGTTGAATTGTATAAATGACTTCATAGAATTGGGAGGTAGAATGGCATATGTGACATCATAGAATTGGATCGATGGTTGAATTGTATAAGTGACATCATAGAATCGGATGTTTGAATTGGATATGTGACATCATAGAATTGGATGGTTGAATTGCATAAATGACATCATAGAATTGGGGGGTTGAATGGCATATGTGACATCATAGACTTGGCTGGTTGAATTGCAGAAGTAACATCATAGAATTGGATGGTTGAATTGAATAAATGACATCATAGAATAGGATGGTTGAATTGCATAAGTGACATCATAGAATAGGTGGTTGAATTGCATAACTACACTATATTGTATAAGTGACATACCAGAATATGTGGTTGAATTGTTTATATAATTTAATCAGAGGTTGTATATTTGACATAGAATGAGTGGTTGAATGATATAAGTGACATTATTTAATTAATTAATTTAATTGGTGGTCAAACAGAATATGTGGCCATTGATTCATGCTCATGCTCAAGGAGGATAAGTTACATTGTAAAATGATTGGTTGAAAGAATAGTACAAGCCACGACACACTCAACATTTTGGAGCAATATTTTTGCATATATCCAGGAAATTTTCAAGAAAGTATTCAGATTTTTGTGAAATACCCAATATTTCATATACAGTAAAACCTGTGTTAAAAGCCTTAGTCACATTTGCTATGCAGCGGTTGTATGGTGGCCGTAACTTTATAAATTGATGTAGAAAATTTACATTGTATTGCTTATCCCTACATTTTATGGTGCATATTTCAAATTTTAGGAAGCTAAGGCCATTGTGTAGTTGCCATAGATTAAATGTGACTGGCATTAGTGACAACACAGTACATAAGGCACAGAACTGTGAAATTAAGTCTAACTTCTGTAGTTGGGAGTTTGGCAAAAGTCCAATTTCTGTAACTATAAGTTTGGAAAGAGTCTAAAATCTGTAATTGTAAGTTTCGTAAGAGTCTAATTTCTGTTATTTGGCAAGAGTCTAATATCTGTAATTGTTAGTTTGGTAAGAGTCTAATATCTGTAATTGTTAGTTTGGTAAGAGTCTAAAATCTGTAATTGTAAGTTTGATAAGAGATATTTCTGTATTGTAAGTTTGGTAAGTCTAATTTCTGTCTGCTGTAATTGTAAGTTTGGTAGGAGTCTAAAATCTGTAATTGTAAGTTTGGTAAGAGTCTAATTTCTGTATTGTAAGTTTGGTAAGTCTAATTTCTGTCTGCTGTAATTGTAAGTTTGGTAGGAGTCTAAGATCTGTAATTGTAAGTTTGATAAGAGTCTAATTTCTGTATTGTAAGTTTGGTAAGTCTAATTTCTGTCTGCTGTAATTGTAAGTTTGGTAGGAGTCTAAAATCTGTAATTGTAAGTTTGGTAAGAGTCTAATTTCTGTATTGTAAGTTTGGTAAGTCTAATTTCTGTATTGTAAGTTTGGTAAGTCTAATTTCTGTCTGCTGTAATTGTAAGTTTGGTAGGAGTCTAAAATCTGTAATTGTAAGTTTGGTAAGAGTCTAATTTCTGTATTGTAAGTTTGGTAAGTCTAATTTCTGTCTGCTGTAATTGTAAGTTTGGTAGGAGTCTAAAATCTGTAATTGTAAGTTTGGTAAGAGTCTAATTTCTGTAATTGTAAGTTTGGTAAGAGTCCAACTTCTGTAACTGTAAGTGTGACAAGTGATGAACAAAACACATATTTTTCTATTTTGACAACTTTTAATGAAAAATTGCACAAGAAAAAATCTGATGGAATAACTACAGAATGAAATGTTAATGAAATTAACCAATCAGAAAACACCATTACCAGCGAATTAACCAATCAGATCACAGACAATAGTGTGTACAATAGTGACGTAATTCCATATTATAAACGTAAAAAACAGTGCTTTGATATCTACTCCATCTCATAACAATATCAGGCATAAATAGAATATTTCAGGATGACATTCTGAAAACGAATGTCTTATCAAGATTTACACTGTATAAGTTGATTTTTATCATATTTAAATATGCAATGCTTATCTTACACAGAACGTAAAAAGTCAAGCACATTTTTAAAACAGAAATATAAAATTAAAACTTCAGATTTTGTAAGACGAATACTCTTCTGTTTCTCCTGTTAAGAGGATGCCAGATTTATATATGCGTTAATTATCTGAGTTTTTATTTTATATTCCTGTTTTAATGGCAACACCGAGGGAAGAAAGTTTATATTACTATTAACTGTTCAGTCACAAAATTCATTCTTCGACTACTTTTTTCAAATCCATAAATAAATGGATTCTCAAGCCATTATCAGATTTTCTGGCAGTTCATTTTCACACTCTCACATTTAGTTTGCATATGACTCTACTCCAATGATTTCTTTGGTTTACAGCTACTGTTCACAGTAATGTGTTCACATTTAGTGTTCACACTCAATGCTCATAATTAGTGATCACATTTAGTTTTCACAAAAATTCACTCACATCAAGTGTTCACAATAATATGTTCATAATTAGTGTTCACATTTCGTGTTCACAATATTATGTCCACAATTAATGTCCACACTCAATGCTCACAATTAGTGTTCACATTTAGTTCACAATATGTGTTCATATTAAGTGTTCATGATTAGTGTTCACATTTACATTTAGTGTTAACAATAATGTGTTCACATTTAGTTTTCACGATTAGTGTGCAAAGACTTCAGACTACACTTATCAAAATATAGATAAAACAGAGGTTTATCTTTCTGAATAAATAATAATTATAACATTAAATTACACTATTAAAATAATGTAAGTTTTGAGATTTGTTCCAAAGTTATCAGCCAAATAGTACAAGTTCATTATGTCAGACAACTAGACAATAATTGATAATAGAAGATGGTTGACTACCTCGGTTTAAAATGTCAAAATGGTCAGATTTCAAATAAAATCAGAGTGTAAAAGAGTGTAATTTGACAGCTGAAACGTATACTAAGCACAGAGTTAACTCTGAGGAATCTATGGCTTGTAAAAATGTGAAAGAAAATCATTAATCCCAGGAATAAATATGAAGAAATTCAACGGAACCAAAATGACATTTTAGCGGAGGAAATGTGATTAAAGCAGACAATTCCGACACCAGGGAAGGTGGAAAATTTCTGCTTTTTTGTATCTGACATACAATTCAGTCTGATTCTTCAAATCACATTAAATAAAATAACATAAATTAACTACAGCTACAGTAAATTCATTTCATAATCAGAAATAGCTTTATACTTCATGTACATCAACACAATTTCAAAAGAGCAGAAATTTTTCATCTTCTGACAAAGTCAACCGTTTAAATCCTGTTACAAAATTCAACAAGGCAGTCATGAACTTTTATGTGTATTTCACATAAAAAGAAAAAACTAGCAGAGGAATTGTATGAACGAAATCTAATTTCTACATTCAACCCTAACTACTGTGAAGACTTTTACAATGTTGGTGATAAAATTATGTAAATGTCGACATAAAACATGCATCATTATGGCATCATTAGAAACTGCACTTTCTTTTAACACAAAACACTAAAAATATCTGGAGCGATGAAATTTGTGTCAAACTCCCATAAAATATTATTTTTTGTGGCAATAATTGTGATATTTTGTACATCTATTATGCTCCCCAGACTTAAGGATCGTCAACTGCAATATCGCATAATAATTATTTAGGCACTAGCAACAGACTGCAATAATTCAACTCGACTTAATTTCATTGTATGTCTACACTTGCTCCACCTATCGTCACCGAGGCACATTAAAGTGGCATATTTACAACTACACCTCGCGACTCATACTTAAAAGGAATTGTAAAATTGGCATTTAAAACACTTCTGCCATTTAAAATTCTTAACACACTGGGGAGCATTTATTATTTTTTTGCCACAAAGACACAAACTCCACCGCATTTCATATTTAGTTTGTACAATCAATGCTCCTCGAAAATCTCTGTAACGTATACAGATGCTGTATATGATGTAACATTATATGTTCAACAACCGATTTATAGAACACCATGTATGATGTTTCATCTACACTTAATATGCATGAGGCGTCTGTAAAGCTACATTTAATATACTGCAATGTTTTATTGAGAATTCACCACCATCTTGAATCTGTCGTCTGCAGATTCCAAGTGCATTGTGGGTATTTTAATCACTTATACCCCGCCATACAACATCTCCTTTGCACTAAAGTTACAAGTACGCCACGCTCTCAACAAACCCATTGAATTCTTCGATAAAATTTTAGTCACATAAAATTTCAGAAAATTATGCTTAATATTAAAAAACTGAATCTATAATTTGCGATTAACATAAATAATTTTAGTTCGACATCAATCTATACATTACTATTTTTCACTATAAAATCTAACCTTGGTGTGTCACACTATCACAATCAATTGTCACACTCAACTGTCACAATCAAATGTAACAATCAACAGTCACAATCAATCATTTTACATTCTTACACAATAGTAGTGAGGTCTGAATTTGAGGTCTGAAATTGAGGTTGTTTATGAGGTAAACATGACACATTGAGGTTGTTTATGAGGTGAACATGACACATTAAGGACTTTGAGGTAACAACAGAGGCTTTCCTATGGAAAAATATGAAAATAGTGTTGCAATTACGACAGATTTCTTCAGAATTTAAGTAAACAATTTATGAAGATTTAACTGAAAAATTCAATAGAAATCACATTTAAAGTATCTTGTCTTGTTTACAGTCCACATAATTGAACATAGTTTTACATACAAGGCCCTTTAACATTTAATACGACATGATCTTTTAATAGTATACAAATTTCAAAAGAAAGTCACAGTGCTTCTGAAAGAGTTCTAACTAAGTGTCATGTATGATGTCAAATAAATCACAATTATGTCAATGTACCCCTACAGTCCAGTTTTACTGCTTAGTAAGTGAGAAAATATCGGAATTTGCATTCTACAAACTTTTACCTGTAGATTTCATCACTACACTACCACATGGACATGAATGTACCTATCAATGGTTGCAGTGACTATGCATTACTGACACCCTGTACTACAGTTGCAGTAACAATGCATTACTGACACCCTGTACTACAGTTGCAGTAACAATGCATTACTGACACCCTGTACTACAGTTGCAGTGAGAATGCATTACTGACACCCTGTACTACAGTTGCAGTGAGAATGCATTACTGACACCCTGTACTACAGTTGCAGTAACAATGCATTACTGACACCCTGTACTACAGTTTCAGTAACAATGCATTACTGACACCCTGTACTACAGTTGCAGTGAGAATGCATTACTGACACCCTGTACTACAGTTGCAGTAACAATGCATTACTGACACCCTGTACTACAGTTGCAGTAACAATGCATTACTGACACCCTGTACTACAGTTGCAGTAACAATGCATTAATGACACCCTGTACTACAGTTGCAGTAACAATGCATTACTGACACCCTGTACTACAGTTGCAGTAACAATGCATTACTGACACCCTGTACTACAGTTGCAGTGACAATGCATTACTGACACCCTGTACTACAGTATATTTATGTAAGCATGTTATTCATGTATGAATCCTGTCAAACCTGAAAATCTGTCTGATCAATTCCAAAAGTCTGTTAGTTCATGATACGAGGCAGATATTCAGTGGTGACTATTTACCAAAGTGGTTCCAAAAAAATTAATATAATTTTATACTCTTTAATATGATATCTCTGGCTAACTGTTAGACACCAATAAACTAGCCTCTCTGTAGCAAAATATTATATGTTGATTTATGGGTGTTTATCAGTTACCATGTTGCATATTGCTTTCAAAAATGATTCAAAATGTTACAATTTTGATACAAATACAACAAGTGATACAAATACCACCTAGTGTATATACATCATATCTCCCTCCTTTTCTCTTATGGGACTATGTCAGAATCAAAATATGATCAAAGATTCCTAAATTTTCTCCAGTCTCAGCCAGTCTCAAACAACTTTCTGGAAGTCACATGATGCTAAAATGCAAAATATTTGATGATGTATTCTCAAAATGTAAAATGCTGTCTATAATATTTCAGCAAATATGTAAAGTTTTCAAGAAGCATGAAAGAAGGTCATGCTCTAGTAAATATTAGGCACTTAATTTAATATAGAGACAAATGGTGAATTTCAATGACTTCCAGAGAAATTGTTTGTTCCCGTCTTACTGTAGTAATGTGCCACTTGAGGTAGATATCGAGTCAACCACCCTGTCTACCGAGCTGGTCCGCAACTGGTCAATATACTTCTACTCCATCCAGCCAGCACCGAGCTACTCCCATTATGCACTGCAGTCGCATGTTATTGGTTAAGGCTTAGACTACATATGGTTTTCTCTTGCATCATGGGTGCACACATGTGGTGAACTTTGCATTCTGGGTGCATTATAATCCTGTGTGGCAAACTGAATTTGGCTTCAAATGTTCAGACAGACAACATGCATATCTTGTAAGTTTGGAGTCAAGCGTACTATGATGCATATTACAGATTGTATGTGACGTACTACAGATTGTGTGACACTACAGATTGTATTTGACACACTGCAAGTGTATGTGACATACTATATACTGTATATGACATACTACACATTGTATGTGACATACTACAGATTGCATGTAGCACACTACAGACTGTGTGTGGCACACTATATATCAAGTGTATGTGACACTCAGTCTGTGACTTAATACAGCTTGTAAGTGACACTCTACAGCTTGGTTATGATACCATATATAAAAAGTATGGGACAACACTAGGCTCTGATTTAGACAACACTAATGCTACGATTACAATATTTGTGAGTTCATCCATGGAGTACAACACATCCTGACCAGAACAACACTGTACTTGCAAAAAATCAATCGTCTGCTATAAACTGTTGCATTATGGGATATATAGGTATTCAGTCCTGAAAATACCCATAATGCAAAGTGTAAAGCAACTGAAGGAATACATTTCAGAGGAATGAGAATGATGATGTCATTGCGATGTAATGTACAAGAATAACATTATTTCATGGCAGATATACATACATTTATATAATGTATTTAGAGGACTGAGGTGTTAAAATATAACTCACAACATATTATTATTATAATATTGTGGCCACCCCGTGCATGAACTAAATCAGCAAAGTCTATAGCAAATTTATTAAGTCAGATATTTTTGAATTTTTGTTAAATTTGGTTACCAATAATTTCATCTTCATTTATTTTTTGGTTTACGCTATCGAAGATTGACAAATGTGCTATATCGGTTTGCTCAAAATGTTCATGAATCGGTTCATGTATTTCTTACCATTTCTACATAAATATAAAAATTTGGACTACATAGAACATATGTCCTCTCATGTTCAACATGCCTGATCTAAAACAATTCATTATTGAATTAAATTCAAATCTCGTGAAATTTGAGATGCTACCACAATAAGAGGTTGATCGCGACAATGTCATATAGCTCTAAAACCCAACAAAATGACCCTCTACTCTAATTCTGCGATAGCACTCTACAACGCAGAGTTCTATTTTTGAAAATATCAGTTTCGGCAGTGTGTGGCTCAATGACTAACTCTACTAACATTACAGTCTAGGATCATCCTCAAGTATAATTTATAATAACTTAGCTACCATTACAAATATTTACTATGATACAATATATATATTAAACATTATTTCTCTCCTCAGACTGCTATTATAATATTAAATATCCTATCACGCAGTCATCAGATAAATATTATTACTACGAGGACAATATTTCTGGCAATTAAGAGTCTGATATAAGCATTATGTTTTTTCAGGTGTGGTCGATTGCGAGGCCATCTGGTGACTACTTGTGGCCCTCTGGTGAGCAGAAGTTGCAGGAATGGTGACACTTGTACTAGTGTCGCTCGTTGTGCTTGGTGTCTCACTAGGGTCTAGAACACTTACTGTGTCTGGCGCCGACCATCGTCGTTTCCTAGGAGTGCCCAGGGTAACTTCCCTGCCTTCAGGCTGAGAGACTTGGGTTGTTAGTGGCTTTAGTTCCTCACTTTTTTGTAAAGTGTCTGTCTCACGTTTAACACTACTCGATGGTGGCCATTTTGAGGAACTTTGACCTAGAGACTGCCTGAGATGCTGTTGTGAGATCTGAGCAGGTTCTGATGTTTTTTTCTGCGCTTGCTCTTCCTGTTTTTTATGTGCTTGTTCATCTTGTTTTTTATGTGCCTGCTCTTCCTGTTGTTGGGTTTGCTGCACCAGTGCTTTAGCGTCCTTATGGGTGAGAGATATACACACATCGCCAACATTTAACCTATGACAGTTCAGACCATAGCGATGCAAGGTGCGCTCTGGGTAACACGATGACCAGCCTTGGCCAAAAACGAAAAATGGATGTTCGACTGTAGCCTCCACAGTGACCTGGAAAAGGTTAATATAAAATGATATAAAAGAGTATTAAAGTCATGGTAAATAATAATTTGTATATTATGTATCAGTATAGGTACTCCAAGCAAAGGAATTTTCAAAATTGGCTTTTTATTTTCCTTTTTTCTGTCTCTAAAACTAATGAGGCATTCAGTAATTTTTTCATTTTTATGTTTATTTGGCATGGTAAATTGAGTATTTTCATGCTCATTAGCAGTCCTGTCGCATCCACGATTGTGATTATTAGGGGTCCGTTATGGTTCTCTTAATTGGCTTTAGCAATGTGAAATCTATCAAGGTCACTTCTGCCCATTTGCACATAAATTGCAAAAAGATATGAATTCTGCTTAAAATGTTAGGTGATCATAAGTTTGATTTTTTCTCTGAAATTTACTTTAAGACCAAGAACTTAATAATTAATCTAAAAGTACTTTATATATGCAGAAAATAAATAAATATACTTAACACCAAAATCCAACATTCAGGCGTTTTAGAAGTATAAAGTGCTCTTATTGGTTATTTGACCAAAAGGTTCTCAGAGTTTGAGAGATTGGATAAGTTTTGAAGTATTTATTCAGGAGAAAAAAATTGTGAAAGATACCGGCAATTGAGAGATGTGCTCGATAACATTTTTTGCTTCTTGTAGCGATTTACAAATTTACAAAATAAACATTTTGCATGTATTATATATTTTCATTTCATAACCCTAGTAACCCTTTTTATCTGAGTGAAACAACTCTAAAAAGAGCCATAGTGAATGGATATTTTCCGGTAGCAAAAGTCATCATGTACTTTGCTCTTAAACACTGAATTCTTTGAACAATTTCCTCATTTTAAAAAGCAAATTTCAAGCCCTGCATTCCAGTCAGAATTGAATAATAATCAAATTTCTTAAAAGCCTTTAATATAAAAAGGAAACATTTGGTCTAATGAGATAACATTCAAAAAGATGATTCCAACCTCCTTGTTTTGTCACTTCTGGTACATTCATTTTTCAAAAAACAAATTTTGTGAGGTAGAGAGACTTGGAAATTTCTCAAAAAATGGATCAACAAATATGAACTTTACACATACAAATATTTAAGCAATTTGAAAACTTAAAAAATTCAAACTTATGAAACGAACAAAAAGTGCACTTTTTACTCCCTATAATTCATTGTTAAAGTGCCAATGGGCATGGCCCTTTCTAGCTATAAACAATCCAAACACTTCTCGTATATTAATCTAAATTAACATTGTTAAAGAGAAAATTAAATCCATAAAACAAATTAAAATATCCATGACATGAAAGTCTTCCTCATAATTAGTCATTAATTTTCAATTTCTTTAGGTTTTTCCGAAATAAGATATTATCTACGTTGACAAAGGGCATGATGTCAGTACAATGTCTAATTACTGAGTAACGAACGGGAGAAATAAATTGTTGCCAAAAACTTGGGTGTCATTTATTATATTCCATATAAGTACGATATTCAACTTTCATGGAATTCAAAAAATAAAATTTTACATATTTTTCATAAATCACTCAAAAAATTGTTTACCCAATATCAATACCAGCGAATAAAAAATTAATACCATTTCGTATATTCAATTTGCCATATATGACTTCACAATAAAATATAATTATTTCAAGCTTCTCAATAAGATAACATTCAAATTACTTACCTCCCATGAAAAAAAAACTTCAAAGTTTATTTTCATTCAAATTAAATGAACTTCAAAGTTAATTCCCCACCAAACTGTTATTGTGAGTTTCTCTAAAGATCACAGGTTTAATAGTTTAAGTATGTAACATATTGAAACGGGTTGTGAAACTAAAAGGACAGACTGACTTCAATTATATTCTATTTACTGTAGTTAGTCATTCTAACTATTTTGTGACAAATTGTTAAAAGCGACAAGAACACGCTAATATTTTATTGTGCTGCTCATTTAGCGCATTACTACTGTTTAACCTGCAATCAAGCATAAACTGTTCCATCCATATTTCTTCACTCTAAAACTTATCGACTTTAGACACTCTTTATGATTATTAAGATGTTCTTGCATACGCTTTTACTATGATTCTTTATATGTTTTTTAGAACTTTAATCCTGTTTAACCTGCAATCAAGCATAAACCGTTCCATCCATATTTCTTCACTCTAAAACTTATCGACTTTAGACGCTCTTTATGATTATTAAGATGTTCTTGCATACACTTTTACTATGATTCTTTATATATGGTTTTTAGAACTTTATTTCTCTTTAACCTGCAATCAAGCATAAACCGTTTCTTCCATATTTCTTCACTCAAAAATTATAGATTTTAGATGCTCTTTATGATTATTAAGATGTTCTTGCATACGCTTTTACTATGATTCTTTATATATGGTTTTTAGAACTTTAATCCTGTTTAACCTGCAATCAAGCATAAACTGTTTCTTCCATATTTCTTCACTCAAAAATTATAGACTTTAGATGCTCTTTATGATTATTAAGATGTTCTTGCATACGCTTTTATTATGATTCTTTATATGGTTTTTAAAACTTTAATCCTGTTTAACCTACAATCAAGCATAAACCGTTTCTTCCATTTTTCTTCACTCAAAAATTATAGACTTTAGACGCTCTTTATGATTATTAAGATGTTCTTGCATACACTTTTACTATGATTCTTTATATGGTTTTTAGAACTTTATTTCTCTTTAACCTGCAATCAAGCATAAACTGTTCTTTCCATATTTCTTCACTCTAAAAATTATAGACTTTAGATGCTCTTTATGATTATTAAGATGTTCTTGCATACACTTTTACTATGATTCTTTATATGGTTTTTTAGGACTTTAATATTGTTTAACCTGCAATCAAGCATAAACCGTTTCTTCCATATTTCTTCACTCTAAAACTTATAGACTTTAGATGCTCTTTATGATTATTAAGATGTTCTTGCATACGCTCTTACTATGATTCTTTATATATGGTTCTTCACTTTAAAAATCATAGACTTTAGATTCTCTTTTTAATTTTTGCATATAGTTTTATTATCATTCTTTATATATGGTTTTTGGGACTTTGTTTCTCTTTGATTTACTTGTGAACAGAAATATTCTCTATAATTATTTGTATATTTGAAAAAATTATTACTCAAGTTCCAAATTAATCTTCTAAATTCTAAAAATATCATATTTGTATAAAGAGAGTTTGTATTTAGTCTGACAGCTAATGAAAAACTTCAAGCTCAGATTCCATTGAACTATCAATTTCAAGGAAACTCATTGTTAAGTTTTGTGATTTTGGTTTTTAGAAGTTTACAATCAACAATACGATTTAATATAAGTATGTGGCAGTTGCATTTCAAGAGGGGAAATACCAATAAGTAAAAAAAATTGTACCAATAATAATTGAAATTAGGTGAAAGTAAATAATATCAAATTAAAAATAAACGAGACATTATCATGACAAAATGTCACATCATTGACACCAAAATACAAGTAAAAAACTGTGGCTATATCAATATGTGAATGTGACCACTTCATAATAGATAAAATAATAGACAATACCTGGATGTGGTGCTCGCCGACAGAGAAGCTCAATAGGACAGTGCCTCTTTCTGGACACTCATCAACTCGGACCACAGTACTAGAGTCAATCTTCAATTCACTGCTTACGTCTGCGCTGTCTCTGAAATCTTCCGTTCGTAGATCTTCAACACGTTTTAACTCTCCATTTGCCAGTTCAATAATTGAGCCCTTCATAAAATGTGGCGGGTAATGTGGATGGGGGACGGGATACCGGGTTGGTTGTAAGGGTGGGGGTGGGGGTAAGGTGCTACTGTGTGGGGGTGCTGACATTGGGGCACCTGAGGGTAAACTATGACGGGCTCGTTTGCCTATGCTTGCCCCTGGTAGATGTCTGGGTTCATCTCCTATGGTACCTTCAATGGCAATATCAGAGGGACGGGTCAATATTCTATGTTTTAGACTACCTTCCTTGCCGCTAGGAACTTCATGCTTGGGCTCTTTTAGTATAGAATGTGGGGGTTTAACAGACGATATACTAGAACTATGTGTATGAGTATGTACATGGGGCTTTCCCAGCTCGCGATGGGGAGACCGAACTGGACCCCGTCGAGTGTCAATGTCACTTAATTTAGGTGACGTTTTTTGCTGCGTCTCCCTTTGTAGTCTATGTGGGTCAGATAATGAGTGGTGAGGCCCGGGGGCCATCATCTGTCTGTGCATTGCAGGGGGCCCCCCTGGGGATTCCTGCGGGGTGAGCATGCCCGCGGATGCAGACAGGGGGTATTGAGGTATATGCGATGCAGAAGAAATGTATGGTGAGCGAGGTAGTTGCTGCTGTGCATGCTGGGCCGCATGCTGCACCTGGCTGCCCATGCTGGCCAACATGGCGCTGTACGACTCCACATGCGGGAAATGTCCACCCGATAGCAGTGCCCCCTGGCTATAGGCACCAGAACTGGAGCCATATGGCTGATACAGGGCCTGGTAGGGGGAGGATAGACCAGCCAGGTGGGCAGACTGGCCACTGTATATGGCAGGAGAGTAAGGAGAGAGGGAGGAGGCAGTGGTGTATATTCCAGAGGGGTATAACCTGCTGGCTGTAGGAGGGTCAGACACTGTCATAGGTGTGCGGAATACTGGACCCACACCCGATCCGGCAGCCAGTAATGACTCACTCTGCCTGGCTCCTTGTCCTTGTGAGACTGCTCCTTCCCCCAACCATGATAACGAATCACCACTACCCCCTCCACTACGGGTCATACTACTTCGCTCGCTGCCATTATTGCTCATTCGCTTCTCCTCCGTGACGCCACTAGCAGGTGACCGCTGACCTGCATTACTCTTATGAGGGCCAGATACAAGGCCGTTTATAGTCAAATCACGGACGTTACTGTTTTTATCTAAATTCCCGTTGCGGATGCTTTCTATGACAGCACTATGGTCTAATTCAGGATAATATTTTTGTACAAAGTTCGCAGCTTGCTTTTGATTGGCCCATACACTGTCAAATAGTTGGCGTGTGTGTAAGTCGTCAGATGGTGGCGTGGAGGCAAGCATAGATTCGGAACATAGTAGTGAGGAGGACTCGGGACCTGCAAATACACAAAGAAAATAGTTTAGATAAAAATAGTCCCAGCTCCTGACTGATCGTGACTTCTAACAATAACTGTATAATTTACAAATATATTTAATATGTAAGTTACAACATAACATATATTAATTAACATTAAACTAGAAACATGTTGAAAAAACACCCTTGTTGTATATTACTTCACATAACACACAAAGCTGAAAAACACATGTTTATAGGTATAAATAACAACTCACATAATACACAGAAAATACTATTTGATAAAGAACTGCTGAAAACCACCATTTGATATAACTGATGAAAATAGACATTTAATCACCTGAAATGAAAAACCTGGAGAACTCTTAATAAAACAAAACAACAATTTGTGTAAGTAATAAGTCTGACTATGAGATATAATAACATTCGGATGCCTTGTATCATGACCTCCAGATGTGCCAAAAGCAAACTCTCCTATATCAGTCTCAAAATATAACTTAATAAGAGATGGTCATTTAGAAATGTAAGCACAGAAGTTATTTTTCTTTGCAATCCTGATTATTTGAGCTGTATCCAGAGAAAACTGTCTAAGAACAAGACAATACAAATAAGATACATTTCCAATCCATATTTTGAAAGTTTGGATTTTAAATAGATGACATGTATTATTTCATCTTTATTTTAAAGATGTTAATTCCGTAGCTATATACATGAAGTACAAAACCATGAGATGTCATCACATAAGCCTTATTTCTATGTTGATATCAACATAATGTTAATTCTAAAAATAAAATAAAAAATTCTCACATCCGAACTTATATAAATGTAAAATAGCTTACTCTCTAATTAACAGGACTGTGACATCCTATTTCATAACATCCTAACTTTTGCTAACACTCTCATGTAACTACATTTACTGGATATTAATCTACTAATTAAAACATGATATATATACAGTAAGACCTGTATGAAAGAACACTTTTCCTTTCTATTTGGTACAACTCTCCTTTCTGTTTGGAACACCAATCCTTTCCATTTGGAACACCTCTCTTTTCTATTTGGAACACTTTTCAACATGCAACAGTTCTTAAAAGAAACAAGTGTCTAATAGAAATGAACGTGTAAAATGAACCCTCTCTATAAAGAACATGAAAAAAAACTGGGCCCAAAATATTTTGAGGGAAAAAAGGCATTAAGACCTTTTTGGTTATAACCAAGCCTTTTAAGGCCTTATTTTTTAATTTCAGGCTAAATTTTGAAGAAAATGGGCCTCAAAATTTTTTCCCCTGCAAGCGCCGAAGTTTTTTTTCTCTGACCTGAAATTTGGGCCCCCCCTTGTTGGTTCCCAGATCCGCCCCTATCACTGGCTGTTATTGTACAGATAATAAAATCGTCATACCCTAAAATTTTTGATTATTTCTTGCTTAATATTAAAACAGGTACTATATTACAAGAATCGAGTTATCCTTTATCCTTATAGAGTCCCTACAATAGGACTCATTTTCCCAATAATAGGACTCATAGTCCAAATAATAGGACTTAATTCCCAATAATGGGACTCATATTCCCATAATGGGACTTATGTCCCAATAATGGGACTTATAGTCCCAATAATAGGATTCATATTCCTAATAATGGGACTCAAATTCTCAATAATGGGTAAATAGGACTCATATTCTTAATAATGGGACTCTACAACATTTAATAATCAAAATAGTCCAAACATTCCATTATTATATTAAACTAAACATTTCTATCTAATGTAGGATTCATCAAATCACAATTTATTTTTTCATTCATAGTATCAAGTTACTTGACCAATAATGAGCAAAACTAATGAATTGATCTGGACGATATATCTAATATGAGACTGTCCATTTACTCAAATGGATGTGTAGGTGTATCTCTTATACACCCATATTGTCATTTTTCCTCTTAGCTACTATTACATTCTGCCTCAAATTATATCAAACAAATTAATAAAATACATTCATGATATTTCAGTAACTCAAAGAGATATAAACATATCCTGATGTAAAGATATTCACTGATATTCTAAGATTAGTTGTACCATATATAAAAACACACACCTTTAATAATATGTGTTAAATCCCCACCTGCATCTGATGTATATCCTATATTGCTCTCTTTGATTTAATGCTTGTTATCATATATGCCGCCTAATATGTGAATATCCTATACAGCTTTAACACCAGCTGACCTTATAGCAAACCTATTACAGCATTATAATTAATATAATAAAAACAACTGGTCATTTCAATCTATAACACACTGACTGTCTCAAACCAATATAAGATAGCATCACTGGTCATCTCAATCCATTATATGATAACATAACTGGTTGTAAATTTATAATATGATAACATAATTGGTCATCTCAATACATTATATGATAACATAACTGGTTGTAAATTTATTATATGATAACACTAGACAACAGCAACGCCAAAGCATAGCAAATCCTATTGAACAGCCATGGCTGGCATTTTTACAAACAAAGTATATAGCAAAAATGGCAGCCATTTTCCAAAATGGCCACCTTCTACCAAAAGAGTGCCATGCTTATAGTATTCACACACCAAATTTGAACAAAATCGCTACACTACTTTTCGAGTTAAAAGTAAAATATATTTGATAAAACAACTAGTCATCCTATTTTTCCAATATAATTACAGACCTAGCCATGCCAAATTTAATTAAAGCACTAGAAAAAGTTCAATAAATGCATACAATGCACCTATAAAAGTATATAATGCACCAAAAGATGTGCTTAATACACCAAGAAATAAGTGCAATACACCAATAGATGTGTACAATAGACAAAATAGGTGTGAACAATGTACCTATAGATATGTTCAATGCACCAATAGATAACTGGATTGTACCAATAAAGGTATATAATAAACCCATAGATGTGTTTAATGCAGTAATAGATAACTACATCGTACCAATAAATGTGTATGAAGCACCCATAGATGTTTTTAATGCCCCAATAGATAACTACAATGTTCCAATTGATGTGTACGATGCACCGATATATGTGTTTAAGGCACCAACAGATAATTACAACGTTACAATTGATGTGTATGATGTACCCATAGATGTGTTTAATGCACCAATAGATAACTACAATGTACCAATAAATGTGTATGAAGCACCTATAAATGTGTTTAATGCACCACTAGATAACTACAATGTTCCAATTGATGTGTACGATGCACCCATAAATGTGTTTAATGCACCACTAGATAACTACAATGTTCCAATTGATGTGTACGATGCACCCATAAATGTGTTTAATGCACCAATAGATAACTACAATGTTTCAATGGATGTGTACGATGTACCATAGATGTGTTTAATGCCCCAACAGATAACTACAATGTACCAATAAATGTGCATGAAGTGCCCATAGATGTGTTTAATGCACCAATAGATAACTACAATGTTCCAATTGATGTGTATGAAGCACCCATAGATGTTTTTAATGCCCCAAAAGATAACTACAATGTTCCAATTGATGTGTACGATGTACCCATAGATGTGTTTAATGCCCCAACAGATAACTACAATGTACCAATAAATGTGTATGAAGTGCCCATAGATGTGTTTAATGCACCAATAGATAACTACAATGTTCCAATTGATGTGTATGAAGCACCCATAGATGTTTTTAATGCCCCAAAAGATAACTACAATGTTCCAATTGATGTGTACGATGTACCCATAGATGTGTTTAATGCCCCAACAGATAACTACAATGTACCAATAAATGTGTATGAAGTGCCCATAGATGTGTTTAATGCACCAATAGATAACTACAATGTTCCAATTGATGTGTACGATGTACCCATAGATGTGTTTAATGCCCCAAAAGATAACTACAATGTTCCAATTGATGTGTATGATGCACCCATAGATGTGTTTAATGCACCAATAGATAACTACAATGTACCAATAAATGTGTATGATGCACCCATAGATGTGTTTAATGCCCCAACAGATAACTACAATGTACCAATAAATGTGTATGAAGCACCCATAGATGTGTTTAATGCACCAAAAAGATAACTACAATGTTCCAATTGATGTGTACGATGCACCCATAGATGTGTTTAATGCCCCAACAGATAACTACAATGTACCAATAAATGTGTATGAAGCACCCATAGATGTGTTTAATGCACCAATAGATAACTACATCGTACCAATAAATGTGTATGAAGCACCCATAGATGTTTTTAATGCCCTAATAGATAACTACAATGTTCCAATTGATGTGTACGATGCACCCATAAATGTGTTTAATGCACCAATAGATAACTACAATGTTTCAATGGATGTGTACGATGTACCCATAGATGTGTTTAATGCCCCAACAGATAACTACAATGTTCTAATAAATGTGTATGAAGCACCCATAGATGTCTTTAATGCACCAATAGATAACTACAATGTTCCAATAAATGTGTATGAAGCACCCATAGATGTGTTTAATGCACCAATAGATAACTACAATGTACCAATAAATGTGTATGAAGCACCCATAGATGTGTTTAATGCACCAATAGATAACTACAATGTTACAACGAATGTGTACAATGCACTCGTACATTTAGCAGATAGCTCTAAATCATTTCCCAAGCTGAGATATTTTAATTCACATTTTGCCAACATTTGGTGAGAGTGGGTATTACTCTGGTAATTAAACACTACGAGGCCTTTGGGGGCTTCCCTTTCAAAAACATGGCTTTCTATGAGTCAGGAAAAAGTAGAAAAGGAAATGATAAAATAAAACATTAAACCAAAATAAAAATATATTTTTACAAAATACAACCTACATACCTTAAAGCTTATGAAGAATTTTAAAAGCAGGTTACGGCAGGCAATTATTAAAACAATATGTCATGATTCTACTATAAATTATTCTAAACTCAGGATATCTCCTCTTATTTAACAGAGGTAAAATTCCTCGCAATTTGATTGGTCCATGTCACTGAA